ATTAGTGTAACTTGATTAAGGTAAACTTTGATTATGATGAGCACGTTATATCGTGTTTGTATAGTGTACTTAAAAGTTAAACAGAATTTGTACGCAAAAATTTGGAATACTCACCTACTAGTTAATGAAAAATCAGACGTATGTACTGCGAGAAAGGTAAACAGAAGCGAAGGCTTAGTGGACGTAATCAACGTTCTTTTCTCTGAGGCGACAAGATTTTCATCCCCAAAATAAATTTCCTAATTATTTTAGATATTATTTCAGAACATATCCTAATGTTTTGTTTAAAAATGCGTTGTGTTAATAAAATGTCTAGGAAACACTAAAACAAACAAGAAAGCAAATATTAAGTGAAACCCTGAAACAGTATTGGCCGAAACGCACTTCCATTGTTTATGCGTAACATAAGATATACGATTGTCTAAATTAAAATCTGTTAACTTTTCCTGTTAGCCACGTATTACATCACGTAAGTGAGGCTTGTGATTTAAGGAACTTCAAAGCCTACAAACTTCAGTTTCGGTGTAGAGATAAGACTTGCTTTGCTATCGTAGGAATTCTTTATGTTATTGAGAATGACTTGCGTCTTTTCGTGATATACGATGAGAATTTGATGTCATCCACTTCGATTTTCCAATTCTGTCTGAAACTGAAAAGCTGGAGATTATTGAGAGTGACACGTTAGATCGAAAATAACCACTGGAAAATTGGTGTCTTGTTCATCACCTCTGTCTAAATCGTCTTAAACTATTCTAGTTCAGAATACTAAAGTTCTTAAATAGAATAGTGCTTTATCTAGGTGACTATAAAATAACTACTGCAGTACATACAGTTCTCAGATGATGTTATGTGATTGGTTGTTGTATAGTAAGTATTATAAGTGATTGGTTATTGTACAGTAAGTGTTATCAGTGATTGGTTGTTGCATAGTAAGTATCATTAGTGATTGGTTGTTGTATAGTAAGTATTATTAGTGGTTGGTTCTTGTATAGTAAGTATCATTAGTGATTGGTTGTTGTATAATAAGTGTTATCAGTGATTGGTTATTGCATAGTAAGTCTCATTAGTGATTGGTGATTGATAGTAAGTATTATTAGTGGTTGGTTCTTGTATAGTAAATATAGAAATATAACTGTAACCCAGCATTAATGGCAAAAGTAAATTTGTTTCTCATGCAGGCCGATCGAATCTCGATAAACCACGTTAATACATATTCAGTTTTCCATTGCAACGTGCAACTTCTTAAACATTTGTGATCATAAGAAATGATGAATTTTTACTCAAATCAAATCAAACAATGTTACAAATGTTGTTGATTAAAAGTTCGTGGCATAGAAATATGTTTAACTAATGTAACCGTCTAGCAACAAGAACCGTCAAAAACCTCGTTGTCTTTACTTTTCAATAGTCAGTGTTTATGTGATTACTAAACATTTTGTGAAAAGAAACAAGCAATAATCATCATGGCTTCACCATTCAGCTTGTGGTAAACTGGATCTTCAGAAGACTTGTTGCTAGGTTACAAGATATAGTGAAACCTCAAAAATAACGATGCTACGGTATACGACTAAATAAGCCCTAACACAGAATGCTATGGTACGTCATTCACTGAAGTCTCAAAAGACTTGATGCTGTATGATCTAATACACGGAATCCAAATAAAATTGTTTCCATGTTATCTGAGTAAATACAGTCTCGAGAGGCTTGTTGCTTGGGTTGAAATGGAGTGTGTAGAAAATTGTAAGAACGTTATCTGCCAAGTTATGAAATATCACTTTTCTTCAATATTTTATAAATATAAACCTGAAAAATGTCTTTTGAAAAAACAAAACATTTATAACTCACCTACAAGTTTCATTGTTTTAACTTAATGGCTATCCTGCTTTACAACTCACAAGTTTCAGTGATTTGATGTAATAGCTATCCTGCTTTATAACTCAAAAGTTACGGTGTTTGAAAATAACAACTATTGTGCTTTATAACTCAAAAGTTTCAGTGATTTTAACGTAATGGCTATCCTGCTTTATTACTTACAAGTTACAATGATTTAACGTAATGGCTATCCTGCTTTATAACTCAAAAGTTTCAGTGATTTAACGTAATGGCTATCCTCCTTTATAACTCAAAAGTTACGGTGTTTGAAAATAACAACTATTCTGCTTTATAACTCACAAGCTTTGGTGACTTAAGGTAATTATCAACATATTTTATAATCCACATTTATGTACTAACAGGTATGAAGTTTACATTTTTAAGTTTCTCCTAAAGGATTTGAAGAGACTTATTGAAATGGGTATAGAACCACAAACAGTGGGTTTGGCAAAGCTGGAGACGCGTGCTCTTCACAGATGAATTCCACTCTTAATTCTTCGGCAACACTCTACGATGGAGAAGAAAAGAATGGTGTATCATTGTACAACAGTTACCTTATTGAAATGGGTATAGAACCACAAACAGTGGGTTTGACAAAGCTGGAGACGCGTGCTCTTCACAGATGAATTCCACTCTTAATTCTTCGGCAACACTCTACGATGGAGAAGAAAAGAATGGTGTATCATTGTACAACAGTTACCTTATTGAAATGGGTATAGAACCACAAACAGTGGGTTTGGCAAAGCTGGAGACGCGTGCTCTTCACAGATGAATTCCACTCTTAATTCTTCGGCAACACTCTACGATGGAGAAGAAAATAATGGTGTATCATTGTACAACACTTACAATGAAGTACAAATTTGGGGGTGCATCTCCGAAAAAGGTGTCGGGGGCTAGATAAAAATTCATGGCACCCTGACTGTTAGCAAATATTTGCAGATTTTCTGACATGCCATGACCTTTCCTCGAGAACACGACACATTGAACGGAGATTCATCTTCGAGAAATACAATGACCCAAGGCGTGCATAAATGTGATGAACAGATATACTGATGGTAAAGAGGCTGAAGAAATATTCACAACAATAGCTTGGACTGCACAAAGTTTCGATATGAACATTTTTAGGCTGTATTGGCTTATATAAAAATAAGGTAAAAAAGGCAACTCAACAACTTGGTTGAATTGTGGAGGACATTTGGAATAATATTACACAATCGTACGTTGATAAACTGTATGGCAGCATGAAAACAAGTTACAATGCTCTGTGTAAAACAGTAGGACTCAGTTGTAAAAGACTAGTGCATTTTACGCCTTATTCTTTTGTAATTTCTGTATAATGTTTTATATCATTAATAATCCCAACATCTAATTGCCATGGTTAGTTGTTTGTGACTCCGATGTGTGTATTTATCGTGCGTTTCCATGATTATTTCTATGAAAACCTAGTAATTCTGATTATTTTTATTACCACATATACAATAAAAAAACTGGTAATTCTGAGCTCTTGGAGTAGCTTCGACTGACATAGAAATAGATTAAATTTGATTAGAATAAAAAGAAGAAACAAAAGTCCTTAACCGAAATATTTGAAAACAGTTGTCACTGGTTCATGCTTTTGGTAAAAACTCATTCTAAATGGTTCTTGATAAGCCTCTGAAACATCAATAAAATTCAAAATTTCTCCTTTTGCCGCATAACATAACACCATTGTATCTGAATGAACTCAACATATAATTGTTTTTGTACAAGAGGAAAAACAAAGAGTTTATGTTTGTATTATACTTTAAGACTATTTTGTTTAAATTAAATATAAACATCCTTTTGGTTGACATTAATTTCATTTAATGTCTTTAGGCCCTCTAGAGTAATAATCCGTAACTTTTCCATTAGTAATGTTAGTTTCTATATAAAAGTCAACCGTTGTCTAATGGAAGAGTACGCTGCTGGTCAGAAAAAGAAATAACGACAACAAAGAAATGGTTATTTTTTTACGTAATCAACTAGGTTCTATCATGAAAGAACAACTGGGTTTGTTTTGTTTTATACAGAAAAACAATTCTGGATTATATAGAAACTGGCGGACAATAAGAGAAAAATAACGTGATAGATGTATAACCAAAGTGAGTTAAAACGGGCGAATAAGTACACTGAGATAAACTGGAAAAAATATTTATAACGGTTACTATTAACATCAAATGTAAATTGAGTGTATCGTTTGTTCGTTGTTAACCACAAAGCTTCATAATGGGCTATCTGTGATATAATCACTATCAAAATTGAACTCCGAATTTTAGTGCCATAAGTCCTCAAGCATACCGCTATGCCACCGGAGGCAGTAACTGTTTCGATTAGAATTGAACTACTTTAAAAAGTAATTTACAAAAATAAAGACAATCCTATATATATATATATGACAAAGTGACTCGAAATAGTTATTGTCACAAACCTTAAATTAGAAAATTAAAACCTATAACGGTTAGAACGCATTGAAGCATTTTATTTGCACTTACACCACACTAGAACTGTAATCATAATAGTTCATAAATTATGTAAATCTTCTTAAAGTCTACAACCACATATTTATACTTCGCAACTAGCCCCCTTGCGGCAATGAAAGCAACTGATCGTTCAAGCGAAATTAGTGCATGAAAGAAGAAATGATTTTTGATGCAGAACTTGTCTTTGTGACTTTAACTTCATGTTAAAAACTATGTAATATGACACAATGAGGATTACGGCCGAAAATGTTGTTTATCCTGTGGACAAAAAAAGAATATAAAAGTTTTAAAAAAGAAAGAGCTCATAACTGTTAGGTAAAACATCAAATGATGGTTTCGGAATATAAAGTCTTAGCAACATCAGAAAGTGAACGTTGTTGTTAGGGTTTGATGAGTCATTGTATGACCAGGACAAAGCCAACGAGTCTGTCCTACTAACCATTCTCACGCCATGACAGTGTTTGTCCTCTCTATATTTGTGTGAAAAAAATATAACTGAGTTGTCTGGTTTACCCTAAGCAACCGAAGAGCTCGTGACATCCCGCGCACGCACATGGTGAGCGCTTCTCCCTGAGTGATCACCCCTTGCTGGTTTGAGAGCGCGTGATTCAGAGCATCAACCAGCGAGGTTACAACACGCGCCTGTGTTTGTCTAGCTAGCCATCTAGTCTGTGTTGTCAGAGAAAAGCGTCCGTTTTACTGGTAGCGTTTTGGCGGTACGAATCTACAGGAAGTCAAACAGGTATGTATTATTTCAGTTAATATGTAGTATTTCCTGGAACTGCACATTTCAACTGAAAGTATTCCATAATTACATATGACCAATAAAAGTAACTATAATGTGAGAAAAGAAGGTTGCTGCCCTGCCTCCAATTTACAGTCAGACGTAAATAAATCAAGAAATACCCGATAATAATTCCGACTTTAGGAGGAAACCATTTTACTTAAGGCATTTGAGTAAACTTTTGATACTTGGAATGACCGAGTCCCAGCAAGATTCGATCACACATTTTTCTTAATCTATTAAAATCTCCTTACGAAATACACATTCTGGACCCAGATGTCGCTGAAATAAATTTCCACTTCGATAAACAGTGGTATTGAAGCCTTATTTCATTGGTCTATTGTAACTTCTTCTTAATTATCAGAGAAATAGGGTCGTGTCCCGCGGTGACTCGGTAATGTCTCTAAAAAAACAAAAAACAAACAAACTTGGAATAGAGAATGGCATTTCGACCTCCTAACAATATCAAATCTGAAAGAACCCATCTTAAACAGAATGCAAGCTCTGAATAGCTCAGTGGGGCTTTAAATCCTTGTTCATGAACAGCCTCGTAAGTCAGTGAAGTGTGTGGATTGAGGATAAGCCATTATATTATCCGACAGCTCATCCGGTTAAAACGCCTGACTACTTCTGTATCAATAGAAGTTACAGTTTTTTATTGCATTATGGTTATCAAAATTAAACGAGTCGTTTCAGGAAAACTGCGTATTATAGTTATTAAAATTATTACATTTATTAAAGTATAGTACCCTAACACGAATATTTAATATTAAGTGTGGTACTCTGATATGAACATTTCGTCTGTAATTAGTATTAACATGTGGTATCAGGACATGAACATGTCATTTCTGATTGTCATTAAGTGTGGCACCCAAACATGAGCATGTCGTCTCTGATTAACATTGTATCTACATATAACGAGTAATACTTATCGCACAAACAAGTTTGGTTAGAAATAAGTTTGACTTTATTTGTTTCTAGCTAACAATATAACTGCACCTGATTGTTAACAGTACGTACGTAGAAATAAGTTTCACTTTATTTGTTTCTAGATAATTACGTAACTGCACCTGATTGTTAACAGTATATATGTAGAAATAAGTATGACTTTATTTGTTTCTAGCTAATTACGTAACTGCACCTGATTGTTAACAGTATACACGTAGAAATAAGTTTGACTTTATTTGTTTCTAGCTAACAATATAACTGCACCTGATTGTTAACATTATATATGTAGAAATAAGTTTGACTTTATTTGTTTCTAGCTAATTACGTAACTGCACCTGATTGTTAACATTATATATATGTAGAAATAAGTTTCACTTTATTTGTTTCTAGATAATTACGTAACTGCACCGGATTGTTAACAGTATACACGTAGAAATAAGTTTGACTTTATTTGTTTCTAGCTAATTACGTAACTGCGCCTGATTGTTAACAGCATACACGTAGAAATAAGTTTCACTTTATTTGTTTCTAGCTAATTACGTAACTGCACCTGATTGTTAACAGTATACACGTAGAAATAAGTATGACTTTATTTGTTTCTAGCTAATTACGTAACTACACCTGATTGTTAACAGCATACACGTAGAAATAAGTTTCACTTTATTTGTTTCTAGATAATTACGTAACTACACCTGATTGTTAACAGTATATATGTAGAAATAAGTTTCACTTTATTTGTTTCTAGCTAATTACGTAACTACATCTAATTGTTAACAGTATATACGTAGAAATAAGTTTGACTTTATTTGTTTCTAGCTAATAATATAACTTTTTCTGCTTGTTAACAGAAAATACGTAGAAATAAGTTTGACTTTATTTGTTTCTAGCTAATAATATAACTGCACCTGCTTGTTAACAGAAAATACGTAGAAATAAGTTTGACTTTATTTGTTTCTAGATAATTACTAGACTTGATTGTTAACAGTGATGCTGTACACATAAAAACGTAATCGGTCCTTTATTTTAATTATGCAGAAAGCAGCTAGTGTTGTTTTACGGTGTTCTGGTACAAACAAAATCGACTTTTTATGATTTCATTGATTGCAGTAAATTCCAAAACAAAATAAGTAGAACGTAGTAATATAATCCACGTGCTTAAGTCACATAAAAACTAAGTAGAACTTAGTATGATAATCCAACTGCTTATCTTATGTAAAAACCAAATAGAACGTAGTAATATGACTTTTTTTCGGTGAGTTAAGCAGCTGAATTATATTACTTCGTTCTATTTGTTTTTTAGGCAAATAGAACATAGTAATATGATTCAGCTGCTTAACTCACCTAAAAACAAATAGAACGTAGTAATATAATTCAGTTGCTTAACTCACCTAAAAACCAGATCGAACGTAGTAATATAATTCAGCTGCTTAACTCACCTAAAAAACAAATAGAACATAGTAATATAATTCAGCTGCTTAACTCACCTAAAAACCAAATAGAACGTAGTAATATGATTCAGCTGTTTAACTCACCTAAAAAACAAATAGAACGTAGTAATATAATTCAGCTGCTTAACTCACCTAAAATCCAGGTAGAACTGTTTAACTCACGTAAAAATCTGACACAAATTTCAGTCAACGTAAAGCAAACTTCTAATGAACATACATAAACTCTCTCTAGCTCAGCACCCTCATTTCGACATTGATTTTTATAATGAATAGCGTATATCAACAGAGAGCTAGAGCTGAGCTTGAGTTTTCAGTAATTTATAATTCTGTGGGCTCTGCAGATTTAATCGTCTACAAATGATAGAAAGACGGTACGACAAGACAGTTCTTATTATTTTAAGCTCAACTTTGCTTTATATGTAATGCGATAGACCAGTGGTTCCCAACCTTTGCTCCACCAAGGACCCCTTTTATTATAATTTTTTCCCCCACGGACCCCATGTTTTTGAAAGATTCCGCCTACCCAACAAACTGTTTTTATTAGCTAATAATTAACTCGTTCTCCCACTTTTCACTACCAAATAAAAGACATATATAACTGAGTGTGCAATTAAAAAGAACATCAGTATTAAAAAACTTACTTGTTTAATGAGACGGTATTACCTACGCGGACCCCAGGTTGGGAACCACTGCGCTAGACAGAAGAAATTCCATTTTAATTTTCTTAGATTCCTCTCTTATCTCAAGCTTTTCATTTTACTATTCGTCAAAATAATATAAAAAAATAATAGCGCGAGATTGCAATCATGAGATTTACAAGAAAAAGATAACACAGAAATTCATCATAAATCAGCGAATACGTTCTGTAATGTATGTGCCATACAGCATTTAGTAGCTGTTGTACCCTTTCAACTCACAAGGAAGACTAGGAACCCTCAGAGAATGTCATTTCAGGTCAGATTCAAACGTTGACCCCTATGTTACTCCTCGGGATTCCCTAAAGATGCATGCCAACTTTGGTGACAGTCAGTTCAGCGGTTCGCCAGCTATAAGGAACACAATGCAATGAAAGACGTGAGAACCCTCAGAGAATGACATTTGGAGTCAGACTCCAACGTCGTCCTCTATGTCATTTCTCGGTGTGCACTAAGAGTACAAGCCAGGTTTGGTTACAATCAATCTAGTGGTTCGCCAGTTATAATGGACAAATGCACATGAACGACATAGGGGCCTTCAGGGGTGACATTAGGGGATCAGATCCGAACGCCGACTCCCCCTATGTCACTCCCCGGGGTTCTCTAAAGATACATATAGGTTTAGTGGTAAACAGTCAAGCGGTTCTACAGTTACAAGTGGACACACACAGAGGCTTTTGTTATTTAATGGTTTAAATATCCAAATCTAGTCCATGAACTAAGCCATAAAATGTGCTTGTTTCCAGCTGCCATTTGTTAAAACAATAACAATGAATTGAACCTTCCATTTGTAGTGCAAAATCCTTTCTTTCGTTTCGAATCAGTAAAGCAGAAGTTCCACGTGAAGTCATTAAGCTACTGCAGTATTACAGAGTAACTTGAAACTGGGCGGTTGCTCACAATAGCATACGAAAAGTGCCCTCATTTCAGAATGCGTGAAATGGGAGTGGTTATTATAAAGATTTTGGCCAAAATCAAGAACAAGTAGATGTCGCGGTGAATCCGGAAAATAATTCTTGATATTTTTGTTGGCATTCATTAATAGTTTAACGACTGAGTTTTAAAAAGATGTAAAATATCCACCGATGTGATTCCTTGTAAACTTAAGTAAGACAAAAGCAGAATCGTTACCAAATTAACCATAGCAAACAAATCAAATGCTTATAGAAAAAGTGGTTTAACATGATTTGATTGGTGTTAAGTACAAAGATACACATTAAACTATCTGAGCTCTGCCCACCACGAATATCGAAACCCGAATTTTAGTGTCCTAAGCCTACGGAGCTATCACTGAGCCACTGGGTGATGGTGGGGGTCGTGGTTTAAAAGGTACATGATAGTATACAAACTATTCTTTTTAAATTGGAAGTATATATATATATGTGTGTGTGTGTGTGTGAGTGTATTCTTGCCGTAACCCGCAAAACATTTGCGGTAGTTTTCATGCCTTTCGCTTGAATTTCCCATATTCTATCATTTTCACGCACGCCATTTAAATTACGCTTTCTGGCAGACATCATGTGTTAGATTGATAAATCGTGGTCTATTTGAAAGAATTTACGCGGTCAGACAAACGAACTCACATGATGTAAAAATAAAGTAAAGTAATATTATTTATAATAGTGTACAGAGTATGAAACAGTTATGAGAGTTCAGTGTATGACACGGTTTTACGAGTTCAAACAAAGAAACTTACAAAAACGAAGAATAAAACCCGCAATAAAGAAAAAAGTAGCTAAAAGATGTTTATAGCAGTTTATGAAACGAACCGAAGCTAAATTATGGCGAAATAAAATAAATGGAAAATTGCAATGAAGGCAAACTTAGGTGAATATGCAGAAACGTCTGAATGTGTGTTTACAAAGTG